TTCTCAGTTTCTGAACATTTCGATTTTGGATTAATTTCTTTTTATCGACTTTTCTATTTGTCGATATTTTTGGTTTTCTAGGTTTCAATTTTTCGATCTTACAGTTTTTCGATTTTACAGTTTTTCCATTTGATTGGATTTTCCTTTTTTCAATTTTCCGATTGATTAATTTTTTCGTTCCTTTACTTTTTCGTAATTTTTGATTCTCCACATTTTCGATTTTTTAATTTTTCGTTTTTTCAATTTTCGAAATTCTCAATTTTTCAATTTGGAATTTTTGATTTTTCAATTTTTCGATTTTTAATTTTAGATTTTTCAATTTTTATTTGCCATTTTTCCATTTTGTTTTTAATATGTGATATTTAAAAAAAAACACTTTTTCAATCTTTGAGACTTTAGAATTTTTCCATTTTTCAAGTATTGCATTTTAAAACTTTTTCATTTATTCTTCAGTTTTTCAATGTTTCAATTTTTCTTTTCTTCAATTTTTCGATTTGCAATTTTTCGTTCCGGTTTATTTTTTGTTTCTTCAATTTTATTTCGAGTTCTTATTTTTAAATTTTTCACTTTTTCGATTTTCCAACTTTTGAACGTTTCAAATTTTAGATTTTGCCATTTTTCGATTTCCCAATTTATCGATTTCTCGACTTCTTAATTTGTCGGTTTTTGACTTTTATATTTTTCAATTTTTCGGTATTTCAATGTTTCAGTTTAATTTTTTTTCTTGACTTTTTAACATTTCGATATCTCGACTTTTCGATTCTTCAATTTTTTTAATTTTTCAGTCTTTGGATTTTTCAATTTGCCTCTTTTGGCGTTTTAAATTTTAGATTTTTTTGGTTTTCTAAATACATATTTTGATTTGTGAATTTTCAGATTTTTCAATTTTGGGATTTTCGATATTTTCATTCTTCAATCTTTCGATTTCTTCATTTTTTAGCTTTTCAATTTTTCGATTTTTTGATTTTTTAAATTGTAGTTTTTTTTCTTAAATTTTCAACTACCTACTTAATTTTTCAATTTCTTGATTTTTCAAATTTTCATTCTCAGTTTTTGAACATTTCGATTTTGGATTAATTTCTTTTTATCGACTTTTCTATTTGTCGATATTTTTGGTTTTCTAGGTTTCAATTTTTCGATCTTACAGTTTTTCGATTTTACAGTTTTTCCATTTGATTGGATTTTTCTTTTTTCAATTTTCCGATTGATTAATTTTTTCGTTTCATTAGTTTTTCGTAATTTTTGGTTCTCTACATTTTCGGTGTTTCAATTTTTCGTTTTTTCAATTTTTCCATTTTCAATTTTAGATTTTTCGGTTTCTCGATTTTTCAACTTTTCGTTTCGTCAGTTTTTGATTTGCAATTTTGAATATGTAATAACAATTATATTAAAAAAAAAAACCACTTTTTCCAATGTATTGATTTTAGAATTTTTCCATTTTTCAATTATTGCATTTTAAAACCTCTTCATTTATTCGAATTTTCAATTTTTAATTTTTGAGTTTTTAAATTTTAATTTTTCGATATTTCAGTGTTCCAGTTTTTCATATTTACAATTCTGACGATTTCGATTCCATTTGTTTTTCATTCATTCATTTATTATTGCTTTTCGATTTTTAAGTCTATTGATTTTTAGCTTTTCAATGTTTCAACTTATCGTTTCTTCAATTTTTAGATTTGCAATTCTTCAGTCTTCACTTTTTTTTTATTTCGTCAATTTTACTTCAAGTTCTTATTTTTAAATTTTTCACTTTTTCGATTTTCAAATTTTAGATTTTGCCATTTTTCGATTTCCCAATTATCGATTTTTTGACTTCTCGATTTCTCGGTTTTTTGACTTTTCTATTTTTCAATTTTTCGGTATTTCAGTTTCGACATTTTTCAATATTTCGAACCTTCAATTTCTCGATTTCTCGATTTTCTAGCTCTCCGATATTTCAAGATTTTAATTTTTTAAGTTTTACATTTTTTTGTTTCTTAATTTTTCAATGTTTCGATTTTTCAATTTTAGATATTTCGATTTTTGGATTTCGCAATATTTTGAGTTTTCGATATTTCAATTTTGGGATTTTTCAATATTTCAATTCTTAAATTTTTCGATTTTTAAGCTTTTCGAATTTTCAAGATTTTAATTTAAGTTTAGATTTTTTATTTCTTAATTATTTAATGTTTCGATTTTTAAATTTTTTTAATTTTTGACTTTTCGATTGTTCAGGTCTTCAATTTTTAAATTTTTTAAATTTTACATGTTTCGATTTTTCAATTTTTTTAATTTTTGACTTTTCGATTGTTCAGGTCTTCAATTTTCTAAATTTTTTAAATTTTACATTTTTCGAATTCTCGTTTTCGTGATGTTTTAAGTTCTCAATTAATCTATTTTTCGAGTTTTTGGTTTTGAATTTTTCAATATTTATATTTTCCGTTTTGTCGATTTTCAATGTTTCAGTTTTAATTTTTTTTACTTTCTTGATTTTTTAACATTTCGGTATCTCGACTTTTTGATTCTTCAATTTTGTAATTTCCAAATTTTTTATTTTTCGTTTTCCCCATTTTAGATTTTTCAGTTTCTCGATTATTAAATTCTTTGTTTCTTCAGTTTTTGTTTTGCAATTTATAGTTTTCATTTTAAATATATCATAATTATAATTTTTCAATCTTTCGATTTTAGAATTTTTTCATTTTTCAATTATTCGATTTTTCAGTTTTTCGATTTTTAATTTTTCATTTTCTTGGTTTTAATTTTACAATTTTTCCATGTTTCAATGTTACAGTTTTTCGTACTTTACAATTTTGACGATTCTATAATTTTTCGATTTGACAGTTTCTGGGTTTTCCAATTTTTTCCTTTCCATTGTTTTTTATTTTCTTCGATTTTCCGATTGATAATTTTTTCGTTTCTTTAGTTTTTAGCAATTTTTGATTTTCCACATTTTCGTTTTTTCAGTTTTTGGAATTTCCAGTTCTTCGATTTGGAATTTTTAATTTTTCAATTTTCCGATTTTCAATTTTAGATTTTTTAACTTCTCGTTCCTTCAGTTTTTGAGTTCGAATAAATGAATTTTCGATTTTTGATTTTTGAGATTTTGTATTTTAATTTTTAGATTTTTTAATGTTACAGTTTTTCGACTTTACAACTTTGACGATTTCTCAGTTTCTGGGTTTTCCAATTTTTCCGTTCAGTTGGTTTTTTCCGTGTCTCAACTTTCCGATTAATTAATTTTTGATTTTCCACTTTCTCGATTTTTCAACTTTTCGTTTCTTCAGTTTTTGATTTGCAATTTTTTTAGTTTTCATTATAAATACGTAATTATATTTAAAAAAATTTTCAATTTTTCAATCTTTCGATTTTAGAATTTTCCCATTTTTCAATTATTACATTTTAAAACTTCTTCATTTATTCGAATTTTCAAATTTTTCACAGTTTTGACAATCCCATAGTTTTCCGATTTTAAAGTTTTTGGATTTTCCAATTTTTCGATGCAATTTTTTTGTTCTTTCGAATTTTTTCGATTTTTAAGTTTCTCGAGTTTTGGTTGAAATTTTTTGTTTCTTCGGTTTTTCGATTTGCAACGTTTTGATTTTCCATTTTGATTATGCATTTTTCAATTTTTCGACTTTTCGAATTAAAAAAAAAAAATGCAAAATTAAAAAATCAAAAATTAAATTACGAAAAGGTATAATATAAATATGTGTTGCAAAATAGAAATACTGAAAATTAAAGAAATCGGAAAAAACAGAAGCGTCAAAAATTGGAAAATGGAAAAAATGAAAAATTCACTAAAGGAAAAATTATAAAGTCCAAAGAAACATTGCAAAATAAAGGAAATGAAATCGAGAAAATGGAAACTAAAAAAAATCGGGAAATAAAAAATAAAAATCCTGAACTTGAAAAACTGAGGAAAGGAAAAATGGAAAAATCGAAAAATTAGAAACTGAGAAACTAAAAATTTGAAAAGTGAAAAATTGGGATATCAAAAAATTGGTTGAGGGTAAATTAATCCAAATTTTTCGAATTTTCTTTTTTTATGATAACTTGTTATATTATAAGTTAAAATAAATAGATGTATGTAATATTGAATTAAATGTAAAGAAGCATGTTATGCGTTGTTTCAAGTGAGTTTTTCCATTACAAAATTTTATGATGACGTCATCAAAATTACCAATTTTAGCAGTAATTTTTGAGCCAGCCTGTGTAACAAATTGTAAAATCCATGATAAACCACAATTCCAGACTCATAATATTTTGGATATTTTAGAGGGGATTCAATCGTCAAAATTTTGAGATGACGTCATCAATTTTTGGACGGGATAAACGAAAAATGAAGATTTACCATGATTGATGAAACCTAATTTTTGAATGCTTTTTTAACGCCGAAATTTGCGAGTTTGTCGGGAATTATTCGCAATAATTAATCATGAGTTTGCAGCTCCAACAAGAAAGCGTCTGAACGGCTAACACAAAGTTCGAGTTAAATAAGTCTAATTAAAAAGACGCCCTCCAGTAATTAATTATTAACTAATAAAAGGCGAGACGAGAAAACGTTAATTCAAGGTTTATTATACCAACAAAATTAATTTGCGCCGAAGTGTAAAGACAACAGTTCGAGTCATTCCAAAGCCTTACTACGCCCCCACTCGCGACAATTAAGCACCAATAAGACATCTGCATCCCCCTGAAATATCCGCCAAATAAAATCACAATTACTTTTGATTAGTCCTTGACAGCACTGACAAACAACCCCCTTAAAGCGAAATCGATCTGCGCACCGCTGTGCCATAAAAGCCTTAATGAACCTAAAAGCCCTCTTTTATTGCATCAGCTACTTGAAACAATTTTCCGGCAAAGTTTTTTCATAATTCGATTCCGGTTTATCGGACTTCAGGGACGCGCTTAATATTTTAATAAAGCTCTGAGTAATTGTCGAATTAGGGAGTTTATTTTTCGCTTATTTCTCCTCGGCTGCGTATCTCATTAGACTGATGGGCGTTTTTCAATTTCAGGAAGCCAAAGAAACCCTGTGCGATCCCGAAAAACGCAGCAATTACGACAAGTGGAGGGGCAGCGGAATTTCGATAAGCTACAGACAGTGGTTGGGGATGAAGGAGCACGTACATCAGGTAGCTTTATGGATGTGAACTCGACCATTGCATAAACCCATTCACTTCCATCCCGTCCTGCATTCGGTATCGATCCAGTCGATGAATAACTCGTGATTGCAAACTCGCTCCTGAACTCGATTATAGGCTGATAAATCTGAGAGCGGCGGAGGCTGTGGGGGACAAATCCTGAAGATGGGTGATGGGGTTTGTAGGAAAAATTGGTTGGAGGAGTAAGAGGGTGTCTGTTTTGTCGTAGTTTTTTTTTGGGGTGTCTTGATGACTTCGTGTTGCAGCACTGTTTATTTTACAGAAAGTTAGAGTTTGATTTGATGAGCTTTAATTATTACTTGTATTTGAGTTCAGTTGTCGAGGAACAACACCAGTGAGTGGTGGTCCCTATTTCTCCGCTAGTATTTTAGATCAGTTTATGATCTCTAAATACAAAATAAAATTATGATAATGAAAGAATGTACCTGTTTGTTTAAAACTCTGAAAAAATCTTGCAGGACCCTGGTGTATTACTTTTCAAAGAATTTGAAAAATTCCTCAGAGCCACTCATGTTTTGTTTATGAAAGAGTTTGAAAGAATTTTAGAGTTTCCAGCTGTGTCTTTATTTTAAAGAATGTGACAGAGTCGTTGAAGTCCTTTGTATTTTATTTTTGAAAGTATTTGAAGAAATCTAGGGGGTCCCTGGTGTTTTTTTTTAAGAATGTGGAAAAATCTTGGGGATTTCTGGCATTCTGTCTTCTTGGAGAGATTTGAAAGAATGTTTGGTCCACTAATGATGCGCTTTTTCATATGAAGAAATCTTGGCACGCCTAATTCTCTTTAATATTAAAAATATGTAAGAATCAGAGGTCCCGGTTGTATTCTTTATGAAATTGTTTGAAAGAATCTTGGAGGCTTCTATTTTTTTTTTAAGAATTCGAAAGAATCTTCGTAACTCCTTGTGTCTTATTTTTGAAAGAATTTGAAAAATCCTGGGGCTTCTAGTGTGTTGTTTCTTGAAGCACTTTGAAAGAATGTTGGGTCCCTTAGTATTTTTTTTATGAAGAAATCTTAGAACCTCCAGTCCCTGTTTGTTTCAAAATATGAAAAAATCTTGCACGACGCTGTTGTTTTACTTTTCAAAGAATTTGAAAAATTCCTCAGAGCCACTGATGTTTTATTTATGAAAGAGCTTGAAAGAATTTTAGAGTTTCCAGCTGTGTCTTAATTTTAAAGAATGTGACAGAGTCGTTGAAGTCCTTCGTATTTTATTTTTGAAAGTTTTTGAAGAAATCTAGGGGGTCTCTGGAGTTTTTTTTTTTAAGAATGTGGAAAAATCTTGGGGACTTCTGGTATTCTGTTTTTTTGGACACATTTGAAAGAATTTTAGGTCCACTAATAATACGCTTTTTCATATGAAGAAATCTTGGCTCCCCTAGTTTTCTTTAATATTAAAAATATGAAAGAATCTCAGGTCCCCGTTGTATTATTTTTGAAAGAGTTTGAAAGAATCTTGGAGGCTTCTATTTTTTTTTTAAGAATTCGAAAGAATCTTCGTAACTCCTTGTGTCTTGTTTTTGAAAGAATTTGAAAAATCCTGGGGTTTCTAGTGTGTTATTCCTTGAAACACTTTGATAGAATGTTGGGTCCCTTAGTATTTTTTTTTTATGAAGAAACCTTATAACCTCCAATCCCTGTTTGTTTAAAAATATGAAAAAATCTTGCAGGACTCTGCTGTTTTACTTTTCAAAGAATTTGAAAAATTCCTCAGAGCCACTGATGTTTTGTTTATGAAAGAGTTTGAAAGAATTTTAGAGTTCCAGCTGTGTCTTTATTTTAAAGAATGTGACAGAGTCGTTGAAGTCCTTCGTATTTTATTTTTGAAAGTATTTGAAGAAATCTAGAGGGTCCCTGGTGTTTTTTTTAAGAATGGGGAAAAATCTTGGAGACTTCTGGTATTCTGTTTTTTTGGACAGATTTGAAAGAATCTTGGGTCCACTAATAATTTCGCTTTTTAACATGAAGAAAACTTGGGACCTCTAGTTTCCTTTACTTTTAAAAATATGAAAGAATCTGAGATCCCCGTTGTATTATTTTTGAAAGAGTTTGAAAGAATCTTGGAGGCTTCTAGTCTTTTTTTTAAGAACACGAAAGAATCTTTGTAACTCCTTGTGTCTTATTTTTGAAAGAATTTGAAAAATCCTGGGGCTTCTTACTTACTTACTTACTCACTTTATTGACGGAAAAACATCCTTAAACAATACAAAGAAAAAATGATAAAATCACATGAAAATGTTACAATATTTTAAAATAAGGTTTGCCTTAACTTAGTTTGAAATTTAGGAAATGTATCTGAATAAAAATCAATTCTGCTATAAATAGAATTACAAGTAAATAATATATTATTAAGTGGTGAAAACAACAAATAATTCGTAAAATTAAATTTAATGTAGAACAAGGGAGCTTGTCTAACATTGAACTGAGGAACATAGAAGTTAATAGAATTAAGAAGGTCAGAATCGCACATATTGTTTAAAAGTTTAAACATAAAACAAATTTTGTAAAAATCACGACGTACACTTAATAAAGACAAACTCAAATAAGATTTACTAAGACTAGTAGAATGAGAGACCTTAAGTGGTAATTTGAACAAAATAGATTTGACAAACTTATTTTGAATGCGTTCAATTCTATTCTTATGTACCTGATATATAGGATCCCACAGTATGCACCCATATTCCAAAACTGAACGGACCAATGATGAATATAATACTAGAGAAGTACGAATATCATTAAAATCATGACAGTATCTCTTTATACACCCTAATACTTTATTAGCTTTTGAGACAATATATTCACAATGCAGGACAAAAGATAATTTGCTGTCTAAAATGATACCAAGGTCTTTTACGGAAGAAACAACTTTTAAGGAATTATTGTCAATAGCATAACACGGAATTGATGCCAGAATTTTACGACTAAAACATATTACTTGACATTTGCTATAATTTAATTTCATTAAGTTATCCTTACACCACAGTGAGAGAGAATCTAAGTCGCTTTGCAGTAAAAACATATCGTTACTATCCCTAATAGTTTTAAATATTTTTAAATCATCAGCGAACAGGCTAAAATTACATTTGAGTATATTAGACACATCATTTATATAAATGGAAAAGAGCAAAGGCCCGAGAATTGACCCTTGTGGGACCCCAGAGGTAATAATCTGCGAAGACGAGAAGCAATTTTTGAATTTCACAATCTGGGATCGATCATCAAGGTAACTAGTAAACCATAGAAGTAGATGACCAGAGACACCATAAGCGCTAAGTTTATTTATTAATATTTTATGGCTAATTTTGTCAAAGGCCTTGCTGAGGTCAGTATACACAGTGTGAACTTCAGCACCCTCAGAAAATGACTTAATAACATTATCAGTAAAACTTAACAAATTAGTTATAATTGACCTTTTACGAAAAAAACCATGCTGATTCAAAGAGATAATATTTTTAAAAGCATAAGAAATATGAGTGTATACTTTCGATTCCAATATCTTACAAGGTGTTGATAGGATGGAAACAGGCCTATAATTTTCAATGGAAGACTTACTACCTGCTTTATGTATAGGTACAACATGAGTCACCTTCCATAATGACGGAAACTTACCAGATTGTAATGATAAATTGAACAACAATTGCAGCGGTAATGCTAAAGACTTACCACAGTTCTTATAAAATTTTGGAGGAACGAAATCAGGACCAGCTCCCTTGTTAGAATCAATCATATCTAACGCACTTTAAACATCTGTCAAGTGAATGTTAATTTTATCAATATTAACCACTGAATCAAAAACAGCATTAAAATTAGGATTAATAACGTTACAATATACAGAGCCAAAGTAATTACTAAAACATTGACAAATATCAATATCATTATAAAAAATTTCATTGCCCAATCTCATTGGCAGTGGCATTTGACAGTTAGATTTTGTGCGGATAAATTTTCAAAAGCTACTGGGATTTAACAACAAATCATTCTGAATATTAGAGATATGTTCACTATACGCATTCTTAATCATAACTTTACATAAACTTCTCAAATTTGCAAATTTCACATAGCCTGTATTAGTACTAGTTCTTTTAAATTGCTTGTGAGCAATTTTCTTTGCCTTTATAAGATTTATAATATCACGACTAAACCACTTGGGATCCGAAGAAGTTACTTTGCGTTTGACTGGTACAAATTGCTCACAAGCAGCATGTACATGTTCATAGAAAATATTTATTTCTAGTGTGTTGTTCCTTGAAACACTTTGAAAGAATGTTGGGTCCCTTAGTATTTTTTTTATGAAGAAATCTTAGAACCTCCAGTCCCTGTTTGTTTAAAAATATGAAAAAATCTTGCAGGACCCTGCTGTTTTACTTTTCAAAGAATTTGAAAAATTCCTCAGAGTCTTTGATGCTTTGTTTATGAAAGAGTTTGAAAGAATTTTAGAGTATCCAGCTGTGTCTTTATTTTAAAGAATGTGACAGAGTCGTTGAAGTCCTTCTTATTTTATTTTTGAAAGTATTTGAAGAAATCTAGGGGGTCCCTGGTGTTTTTTTTAAGAATGGGGAAAAATCTTGGGGATTTCTGGCATTTTGTCTTCTTGGAGAGATTTGAAATAATGTTTGGTCCACTAATAATGCGTTTTTTCATATGGAGAAATCTTGGCACCCCTAGTTCTCTTTAATTTTAAAAATATGGAAGAGTCTGAGGTCCCCGTTGTATTATTTTTGAAAGAGTTTGAAAGAATCTTGGAGGCTTCTAGTCTTTTTTTAAGAATACGAAAGAATCTTCGTAACTCCTTGTGTCTTATTTTTGAAAGAATTTGAAAAATTCTGGGGCTTCTAGTGTGTTGTTTTTTGAAACATTTTGAAAGAATGTTGGGTCCCTTAGTATTTTTTTCTTATGAAGAAATCTTAGAACCTCCAGTCCCCGTTTGTTAAAAAATATGAAAAAATCTTGCACGACCCTGCTGTTTTACTTT